CCTTAAAGCTGCATCTCCTTTGTTGTTGCATTGTTGTATTTTAATAGAAGCCGCGGCTTTTAATACAAATTTTACAGTAGTGATTAAATCAGTTATGCTACATATGTACCTGTGCATACCATGTACATATTATCTGTTTTGTGATGTAATCATACTCTTTATTCATTCCACAGCCAATTTTCATCTCAGCATAATCTCACTTCTCTCAGAATTTTCTCTGTTTTCAATATTAATTTTTACCAAACGAATGAAATTCGACATTACCTATAAATTTGTATAACATTCTGATAATGGTGGTGAAAGCATTAGCAGTAATTGTTGTGATATGATTTATCAGGCTGCATGTAGCTCTCTTCAAGAAAGCAGTTTATAATTCAATAACTTTAGCTGGCACACTGAAATACATTATGTCAGGGTATCTACATCTTGCCTTATAAGGAAATGTGACTACCAAATATGGGATGTTTCAAGATGGGTCCAATATTTTATAAAACAAAGTTCATTGCAAGAAAGATTATTTTTCACCATATTAAACAGATATGGGCTTTCTACACCAAGCAGTTGGATCAGAAAGATGTATAATAATAAAGTTATTATAAAGATATCGTAAAGTATGCACTCAGACAGTACAGCTTTGATTATCAATGTTGCCAACATGAATACTTTCTGGTATCCTTGTAAAAACTTTATATATTTCACGAATCCAAATGAAAATGCTCATAATTAGACTATAACTTTAGAAATTACTTTGTTGTTATTCAATTATATATAGTTTATTAACAAACAACTGAACATATTCTTTTCAGACAACTTTTCGCATTGGCCTTGGTTACCTGCCCTTGGCACATGCTGGTTTAGATGCATTAGAAACCTGGGCATTCCGTCTACAACATAATGCATTACAGCCGTATTATAAAGACATACTACCGTGTCTGGATGGATATCTGAAAACTGTGTCTGATACAAGTAAGTTATACTCTGTAAAGATTATTATCTGTGTATGTTATTTGTAGACTTGAATGTGACATATTTTGTCACATGGCTGGGTAAATTATGGGATATCCATCTATGAACAATTTGATTTCAATGTCTCTAGTGTGTATAAATATAATGCTGTCCTTATTCACTCATTTGTACTAGCTTAGGGGTTATACAATATCATGTATCACATTTCATAGTATTTGACTATTAAATGTTCCCAAGTTTAATGATATTATTTAAACACTAAGTTTCTAAGTTAAAGGTGAAAGTTAGCTCATATGCGTACCCTGATTAAATACCAAAAAAAATCACCTAGATTTCAGGTATTTCTACTTTACTAACCCTCAGAACACAATAATGATGCAACATTTTTATATTTTTTTCTACAATTTCTTTGTTGATTTTGGACATGTCTTGGCCAAAATTTTTGGAACAAAATATTTTATGAGTTTAATTTTATGAACGGGTCATTAGTTTACTTTGTTGATAATTTAGTGGTATGAAAAAAATGCTGCCTACAAACATAAGTGATCAGATATGCAAAATGCAGGTACGGTTTTATTTTATATGAAATTGTTTTTTTTACAGATGCTGAAAATGCATCATCCCAGACTGTTAGTCTAACAATGACTAGGACTGGAAAAAGGAGAAACAAAATTCCCATCAGACTGTTGAAACCAGCCACACAGGACGGAGTAAGATGTCTATGATAATGGAATTTAAAATTTAATTAATAAAAAAATTAAGGCTTTTCATTTCCGGATTTGAGATTCTAAATGTTTTATTTCTGTACTACTTTAGCTAAATTTGTGTCAGTAATTCCAGTGAGCATCAAAATGTATTGGAATGCCTGTACTTCTTCATGTTTATTTACTAATACCATAACAATTAAAGCTATATTTTTGCAGAACTTTCGGAAATTTAAACCGGACTTTGATTCAATTTTACAGACAACTTATGTTTAATTGAGTTTGAAGCAGTTATAAATTCTTATATCATAATCCCTGGGTTTATATAATGGTTCTTTATCATCTTCAGAGCGATGAATCACCGTTAACTATTGTCAAGTTAAAAATAGTGCATCTACTTGGGTTACTTGGTGGCAGTACTAATGGTTACTTACTGGAGAGCAGCAAGGAGGAAATAGCTAAGAAAGCTGTTGCCTGGGATACGGAAAATCATCTACAATTTCCTGTGCCTTTCATGGATATCAAACCAGTAATCTGCTTTGGTGAGTTTTTTTTTATAAAATCCATAATTTGTGTGTAGTCTGAAAAACTAGACTTATTAACATTGGCAACTAACTGTCAATCATTTGTTTATCCATCTTTCAAATAGAAGGAAACTAATTTTATTAGTCCCTGTTTGGACGCAGTCCGAAAACAGGGACTTATGTTTTGACCTTTGTGTGTGCGTTCGTCCGTGCATCCGTGTGTCTGTGCGTGCGTGCATCCAGACCTATATCTCAGACATGCCTGTTTCATGATCTGATTCAAGATGGCTGAATGGTGGCCAGTTTTGTGTTAAAAAATCATCAAAATCAAGCATTTATGGATGGATTTGGTACATACGTTTATATGACATTATGGGACCTTGATGCACATCATCTTATTTTTCAGATCAAATTAAAATGGCCGACTGGT